CTCTGAAGAGATCAATTTGGCTTGTCAACGGTGGGACTGGCAAGGAAAGAAATGGTAAGGGTTTCTTTGCCTCCCCGCCACCCACCAAGAGTGGGTTGTGTGATCGTTTAAACAGCTCAGCGGCTTTGAGGCCAAAAGACTGCAACAGCAGTAAAAGGTTTGCACTCATGTGCCAGTTTTCCAAATGATCACTCACATTTAAGTATCTATTTGGAGCAGAGGGGAAGTGCTTCCTAAATCCACCTGTCCTCATTTTTCTTTAAAGAGATGGCAGTGTGAATGAAAGACTTCCAAACATATTAAATCTTCTTAAACGTGTGTTGTGTTGAAAGCGGGAGTGGGTTGGGAATGGCAGTAGGCATGGTGCAGAGAATATATTTAGTGTGTGTATTTAAGTGTGCACGTGTTTGGGGTGGATGTGAGGGGTGCTACTCTTTTATTTGCTCTAAGAGGGAAGTGAGAAAACACAGAAAGACGTCTGCAGAGGTACCCTTCTTGCCTGTCATGTGACAGTTAGAAAGAGGCAAACCACAGGCACGATGATGGAGCATCTGCCCAGTGAGATATTAGTTAGTATCTTAGGAAATGGCATTAGGATCTTAGGAAATAAGCCCTCTAATGAATGAATGAAATTCCCCATTCTATTTATTTCTAAGCCGTCCATCCCAAAACCTGGGTCTTTGGTGAGGGCAAGGGGGGCTCAGTCTCTCTTACTGGGAGTTTAGACCCTGCCTACAGATAAGTGGCTGACAACGGACGGGCTTAGGAGGGATGCCTGGGGACCACAGTGAGAAACAGCGCTCCATGCAGCCTTGGGAAGCGGCAGTGATCATCACTCTCTTTCCTGCCACAGTTGTGAGGGCAACCAAAAAAGCAATAAAATCCAACTCAGATGCCCCGAAAGTCAGAAGTAGGTGCCTGGATGAAGGTGTCTGTCACTTTCTCTTCTCAGCTTACACACAAGACCATCCCAGCTCCTCATCTTGGCTGCCTCTCTTAGCTGCACCACATCATGTGGGCCGCCTGGGTAAGGCCGTCAGACTAAGCTGGTGTGTCTCTCGGCTCCTTAGGTCGTGCAGTTCACCTCTGTGAGTTACACAGGTCAGTTGCCTTTAGTGGGTTCTTTGCAAAAACCTGTAAACCAGCCTGGGAATTTGATCGTGATCATTACCTTCTTTCTTGCCACTGCTAAGAGGGCCACAAAAAAGAATCAAATCCAACTCATGTGCCCCTAATGTCAGAAGTAGCAGTATGATTTAAAAACTGGGACGGAATCCCAACCCCACCCCCTTTCCATCTCCATGAAGAAAAAAAAAAAATTGGAAGCTCTGCAAAGTGAGGTGAAAATGAGGCATGGAACTATATACCATAACACCTGTAAAGACAAATTTATTGCTGCCGATCTCATTAAATGTGAGAAGTAGGAGTGAAAGATGTAGTTGACTACCCCTCTTCTGCACACCTTCACAAACTCACGTTCAGAAGCGAGATGCTCCCCATTCCACGTGATGGGGCCCCATGTCTTCCCCTTAGCACAAACGAAAAGCGTAGGGCAGTGTTTCTTCCACATCCCCTGGGATTTCTCAAGCTCTCACCACCCTAAGTCCGAGGCTGTGCCAAGAATCTTGGCAATTGTGTAAACTGATACAAAAGGCAGAACAAGCTCTCCTGTCACTCAGAAGGCCCTGACTCATAAAGGCCAGGAAATGCAGGGTCTAGAAGAGGAGAGAGAGAGTCAAGCCACGCCCTCTTTGCTAGTGATAAACCTCCCCCATCTGCTTGATTTTCCTGTGGGCCAGGGGTCAGCAACCACTCGAGCTTTGAGAGCCATCAGCAGCAGGAGCTGGTGGGGGGATGGTGCTAAACAATGACAGAGGTGCCACCAGCAAGCTTATGACACAGGCAGAGATGGAGCAGAACGCTGAATCAAGACAAGAGTAGGAGGAGAGGAAGAAGAGGAAAGTCGAAGCAAAGATGGGAAAACCTTAGCTTCATTTTCTCTCACTGGCTCCTGGCTTCTACCTGACCCTGCCCATTTAGAATTACTTGAAAAACAGTATAAATCTTTAGGCAAGCTTAAATTTTTGTGTGTTATTATCCATCTTGTTATTACTGCTCACCATAAATAAGTTAATATTGGTAAAACACTTAGACGTGTGCCCAGGACATAGTAAACAGTCAATAAATATTAGCTATTTTATCATTGCTGCAAACAACTGATCAAGACATTTAAAAATGTAATCAGTAAGAGGTTTTCTTTACCACTAATACGCAGTTGGATTGCTATAGTCCTTTGAATTGATAGGATCTTTGGGCATCGCGCAGACATAACCTCAGAGTCCCTCTACCAGGCTCCATCTCTGTTTAAAAATTTAAAGGGAAATAAAGTATGCAGTTCTTTGCTTTGCCATCCTCTTCTCTTGCTCTTATTAGACCACAGATTAATTTCACTCCATCTAAAGAGGAGGAACTTCAAAGTGCAAAAGTCACGCAGCACACACCATATCAGTTGAGGCATTCGGCTCGAGGTGCCGCGTTTACCTCGGGCTCACAGCCACGGCCCACATTGGGAAAGCTACAGTGATAAGGCCAGTGGCTTTTTAAGCATCTCACTTAAGCACTGACCTCCATGCACAAAGGCACAGAAAAGAAGGGATCATCTTATCTGCAACTTTTGTTAGTAAATGCTCCAAAACTGAGAGGCTAAATTCAAAAACTATTTGGTGATGATATTAGGATCCTATGTGGTGGTGGGTGTGTGTACGTGCATATGTACGTGTGAGCGTGTGATGGAGGGGGCAGGGAGGAATCAAGGCTCCTGCTTCTTGGTTATCACATTTCCAGAAAGAGCTGAGTTTTGACTGAAGGAGGAATAAGACCCAAAATAGACCAATAACTTGTCTGAAGTCACATGAGAAGTGACAAAACGGCTCCCTGGGCCCCATACTCCTTGCGCTGAAGCGGTCTTAAAATAGACACTACAGATAAAGGCGAGGTGGCCTGGTTGGAAGTGGATATGATTCAGAAAGAGAGAAATATTGGATGTTAATCATATTAAAGGAGGATTTAGATGATGCTAAATAGAGCAGCTCGTTGGGTATCTCTTGATGCCAGCCGTTCCCTGTTTGTTTCATTCTGGCCCTTGCGCTGTGAGTAGGGGATTAAATTCCAACCAGGTAAGGTTTAAACAACCCTAAAAGTCCTAATGTGCACTGTCAGGGTTTGTTCTCTCAAGTATGATACACAGCAAAAGCGCAGACCTCATCCATGAATTTGGGGCAATTCTTGTACAAAGCGTGATGCCTGCTGCTAAATGAATATTTGTGGAAATAAAGTGTTCACTAGCACACAGTCGAATTCTCTCAGCTTAATGTTTAGAGCAATAGACTTATCAGAAAGGGGTGTTTAGAGCAATTGACTTATCAGAAGAACTGATCAGAAAGTTCTTCATCAAATTTCTTTAAATGTTTAGTCATAGTCATAGTCTTCAGCTTTAGACGAAATCTGCTAGAGGGCTCCGTGAAGACAGTAAACCAGTGCCTTGTTACAACAGAGACTTTAAAATCGGGAAGCAGTACAAGGATCCCCACTTTTGACATGTTTGGCCAGAGAAAAACTTTGTTCATAACACATTTGGCAAGCAAGCTAGATAGGTCTTGAAGAGCAAAGATAAGTTGTTGGCTCACAGTATACCATGCAAACTTTCAAAGCAAAACCATGACTTTCGCACTGTTAAGCTCCCACATTCAGTTCTTTCTAAGCTACCAGAATTGATCTGCTGAGACCAGAGGGAGAAGGGCTGGAAAAGCGCTGGGCCAGCAGTGTGGGTCAGGTCCCCTCTCTCTTTTGAAGTTGAGAGCTTCTGGGGCGTTTCTGGGTACCTACCTATGTGAGGACAACAAGAACATTAATAATATAAGGTCCCTGCATGAGCAGATGTGGGAGAAAAAATTCCTATCCTCCAGATAATAGAAGAAAAGGACCAACTTTGTCAAGTCACAGCCTGTCTACTCATCGTCAGGGGGTTCAGCCTGCAGAAAACTCTTGCCACATTCCCAGCTCCCACTATTGTTGCCTCAGCCAGCAGGTATCAGCAAAATGCCTTTGTGCGTACTGGGGGATTCACTAGTATAGTCTCATAGAGTCATCATGTTGCGCTTACAAATGTTTGCCGAAGCACCACATTAGCCAGTAAAGAAACGCCTTACCCGTAGCCGCACATCTTTATTGCTGCATGGATTTTGCTTTCTGGGAATGGTCTATGCTGTTTCGTGTGTATCTAGAATATGCGTGTTGTCAATATGTATTTGTGTATAAGAGTGTACGGACACAGAGCAACACTCACGTGAAGTTACACATATGCAAAATAAGCACATGAGGTTCTCCTCCAAAAGCAGCAATCACAGAAACAAAGTCAAAACATCGTGATGAATCTCTTATAATAGGTACTTAGTAAATTCTCATATCACTCTTTCCACAAAGGAAATCAATGCTGATTAAAGACAAACCATGGAATCACTCCCTCCCCCATCAACATTTCTAGACGTTCTTACAAAACAACCTTTGCAGCTACCATTGCACAGAGCATCTTTTCAGCTCAATCAACATGCCAGAACCTAAACACGAAAACAGCCTAGTGAGGCAGGGACGTCTTTTCTGGCAAGGGGATGCTCTGCATGTGTTTCTTGCTGACATTTTCTTTGGATTCTCCAGTTCCCTTTTTCCGTGGCCAAAAGGGTCCTCTATGGAAGTGGCAGAGTTGGGGAGTGGGAAAGGAAATGAAAGTGGGTCAGGTCCCTAGGACTCTGATGGGAACCATGGCGGGGTGGTGAGGGTGAGGGGGGGAAGGGCAGACCCTCATTGCTGCTCTGCCTCTTACCATACTAGGGGATGTGTCTGTGAAACACCAATACAAAACCAGATTTGGGGACATTTCTAAAGAAAGTTAAGTGTTTTAAAAAGAAAAGAGAGAGAACCAAAAAATAAAGATGAGTTCCTAC